ATACATACATACATACATACATACATGCATTCATCCATCCATCCATCATCCATCCATCCATACATACATTCATCCATCCATCCATCATCCATCCATCCATCCATCCATCCATCCATCCATCATCCATCCATTGATCCATCCATCATCCATCCATCATCCATCCATCCATTCATCCATCCATCCGTCTGTCCATCCATCCAGACACTGAGAGTAAAGGACTCAAATGAAACTTAAAGTCAGGTTCAGGATTAAAAGTTGAACCGGATTAAGGGACGACTGCCTCTTCCTCACCCTGTCAGGTTGATTTATACACAATAAAAACTGCTGGGTTCTTTTAATAACTCAGATACTGGATTAAACCTGCTCAGTAGCAAGTTGGGTTAGGTCAGATTGACCCAGTGGGTCGGAGATAAGTCGGGTCAGTCTTCACAGTCCAACATTTTAAAACAAGTTTATTAAATCAGACCGGACTGGACTTCTGTTTAAGGATGTAAAAACTAAAGATAAGGCGGTAAAAACTACTTGGAAGAAGAAGAAGTTTAACACGGCTGGTTTTGTTAATAACTTCAATTTAAAGGTGAAACAGCTGTTAGCCCAGGTAGCTGTACCTGGCACTAACATTAGCTGTAAAATACTAAAAACAAGAACATCAAAGCAAATATGTTCTTGTTTTTAGTATTTTGCCTTCTTTCACAGCACCTTGATTTATTGTTTTATACACTACTTTATTTTAATTTCATTTTGTTATACTTTATTGTTGTCTGTCTAAAACAGGTCTCTCTTGTAAATGATTCCTCGTGGCTCAATGAGACTAACCTGTATAAATAACGGCTGAATGAATGAGCTACCACCATGCAGGTTTTAACTCACCTTTTTAGTAGCTTGAGTTTGTTAATTTAGTCCAAACTTATGGTAGAAAGATTAACTCAGTAATGTGGATTAAACCCAACTTCTGTTTTTAAAGTGCTACGTATTGTCATCTCTGCATTTAACCCATCACATGTGAGATGCACCCAGGTGGAGCAGTGGGCAGTGGGCGCCCGGGGAGCAGTTAGGGATTGGGCATCTTGCTCAAGGACACCATGACGTGTGGGCATGGTGGGGAGTTGAACCTGTGACTTTCTGGTCCCAGGTCGGCTGCCTTGCCGCTGCACCATCTCGACCCCATCTCAGCCTTTAAACTGCTGGGTTAAAAACGATCCAGTATGTGACCGAGCTCTGGGTCAAACTTGGACCGAGCCGACCCTGAGTAGTTTTTATCTTGGCAGGTTCACGATTTGGTGGCACAGTTTGTAAAATTTTGTTTTCCCAGGAATGAAGATAAACTCAATGAGCTAAAAAAACAACTAAACTTTATTAAAAAAAAATACAAATAAAAAGGTTGACAAGGCAGCAGAACTTACAAACTGAGGACGGACACAAAGAAGCACAGGAACAACCAGACGTGGTGTGAATAACGTGCAAGGCTCCACTGAAGGCTATAAGGACTGGTGCTGATGAGAGAAGTGTCTGCAGCTGTGACGGGTGAAACAGGGAGCAGGTGTAGGTGGGCGTGGCATGAGGAGCAGACACTAATGGAACAACAAACCGAGCACTGAGAAAATACAGAAACTAAACGCCACAACAAATAAAGATGAAGAGAAAACTAAACACTGACAAACACAACCGCCGTGGCTGTTTGCTCTGCTCAGATGTTGCTCTCATGTTTGCTGATGGAGAAGCTGTGCTGCACACCAGGTTTGAACCAACCAAGAAGATGTCCACCTACCTGCTGGCCATCATCGTCTCTGACTTCACGCACCTGAACGCCACGCAAGGACCCACTCAGGTAACCCTCTGACATCAAGTGACGTCATCAGTGACTTGGATGTTTTTATGATATTCGTGAATTTTATTGATCGAACGTTTCAGCATCTAAATCTCCAGCTGCGGCTATCTATGGTAAAAACATTACTTTGAGGTTACATTTGACTTTAACGAGCAAATTATTTATTTTCTTACTTTAGGTGGCAACATCAATGAGAAGAAAGAAACAGACAAAGTGCATTTTCTGTGAAAGTTCGGTGTGCATAGTGAAATCTGCTGAAGAAGCTAAAACTGTTATTGCAGCAAAACATTAGCTCAAAGTATCAACAGCTGTTGGGAACACCCATTTAAAAGATCTCAGGAAAGTCTGGATCTTTGGAAGGAAAATACAAAGGGATTAGAACCAGATCAGAACTTCTCTACTCTTCTTTAAAGCCGTGTGTGGTGCTGAACTGCTGCCGTTTGTGTAGTTTTGCCTCTTTGCGGTTCTTTTGTGTCTAAATTTAAATCAATCTTAGAGAAGTTTCTTGTCCTGCGTTCAGATCCGTATCTGGGCCCGCAGGAAGGCCATCGAGCAGGGTCAGGGAAACTACGCCCTGAATGTAACCGGACCTGTGCTGAACTTCTTCCAGTCCTACTACAACATCTCGTACCCTCTGACCAAGTCAGGTATGGATCATGTCAAACAATCTGACCAATCGGAGCAGACTGTCCTTCTGAGGTGTGCAGAAGAAACCTGCTGCTGGTGCTGAACTGGAGAGTCTCAGAATGAAGTTCATGCTGGTTTTAAACACTGAAATGTGTTCCGACCCAGAACATGACACTGTGTTCAGAACATCTAACACTCTTGAACCTCTGGTTTCAGATCAGATTGCGCTGCCAGACTTTTATTTTGGTGCGATGGAGAACTGGGGTCTGGTGACGTACAGGGAGACCAACCTGCTGTATGATCCTGAGACTTCGTCCAACAGGAATAAAGAAACCACCGTCACCATCATCGCTCATGAACTGGCCCACATGGTAAGGTTCTGATCAGTGGTGTAGTCTACATTTTTTAGTAGGTCTACTGCAGTAAAGTTAGTTTTACATTGGACATTGGACACTGCTGAAGCCACGGAGCGTGAAAGTCCAACGTCCATTGTAAAACTAACTACCGTGGTCAGTCCATACAGATATACTGTGCTTAAAAACCAAAGTACACTGGTTAGTACAATGTAATCGTTGATTTATTTTGATTTTTAATCGTATTGAACATTTCCAAATTTCTCTGATGCTTATATTTGAATAAATGAACAACAAACTTTGTACAACAGTTGGCTTTGTATTAAAAACATGTTATAGAATTTATAAAACAGCACCAAAGCAAAACATGTTCAAGTATTAAGTAAGTACAGAATTATACAATAATTCACTGGATAAGCGAATGTAATAAACAAGCGCTGCATACAGACAGATTGTTACGGCAGCGCTTAACTGCCATTTAATGTATCAATGACACGTGCCTAATGATATGTCATGTATCATTGGGCACTTTTAAGTGGGTACACTGAGATTCTTAAGCTTTTTTAGTGGGTATACTAAATATACCAGCATAGTGCGTAGAGTAGGCTACACCACTGGTTCTGATCAAATCCAGCAAGCGAGGTTTGAGTCATGAGTCTGACTGAGTCCCGGTTCTGCTGCAGTGGTTCGGGAACCTGGTGACACTGAGCTGGTGGAACGAGGTCTGGCTGAACGAGGGCTTTGCTTCGTACGTGTCATATCTGGGAGCCGATTACGCCGAGCCGGACTGGAACGTGGTGCGTTCAGGTTCCTTTGTGTTCCATCGTGTCGTAACATCTTCTAAGTGTTTTCCTGTCCGATCCAGAAAGACCTGATCGTCCTGGACGATGTGCACAAAGTGTTCGCTGTGGATGCTCTAACATCGTCTCATCCTCTGACCTCTAAAGAAGACAGCATCGTCCTTCCAGAACAGATCATGGAGCAGTTTGATACCATCTCCTACAGCAAGGTCTGCAAGAACACTGAACTGTTCTTCTCAAACGTCTGATGACTTGACCAACGCCTCACCTGTCTGTCTCCTCAGGGTGCTGCAGTGCTCAGGATGCTGTCAGACTTCCTGTCAGAACCCGTCTTCAAACAGGGACTCAGTGTACGTGCAATTTCTTCGTCATGGATGGAAAATACACGCTCTTCACTTTGTGATGAATCTCTGAGTCTTAAATCAGTTTCAGACTGAAGGTTTTCCTTCTGCCTGCAGAGTTACCTCAGATATTTCTCCTACAGCAACACTGTCGGCATTAACCTGTGGAAACATCTGGAGAAGGTAGAATGAGTTTTTAAACCCAAACATGCTGGTAGAACATCACTTGATGTTCCTCCACAGTTTCTCATTGGATCTGATCTCCCCACTCAATGTGCTGATAAACACCTGTTTCCTGCTGGGAGACTCAGTTTTAGATGTTTTCCATCACGTTAACACGGTCTCTGCAGGCGGTGAAGGACAACAACGTGTCGCTCCCTCGTCAAGTCGACGCCATCATGAACCCCTGGGTGCTTCAGATGGGCTTCCCCGTGGTTACCATAGATACGAGCACTGGAAAGGTTTCCCAAAAGCACTTCCTGTTGGATCCAGAGTCAAATGTGACGGTGCAGTCACCTTACAGGTACTTCAATCACTTTGCACAATTTAAAAACTTCAAATTTCACGTCGTTTTGAAGTATTTTGCCTTTTATTTTAATCAGAAAACGAAAATGTTCAGGCTGGAAAAGAGAAACATCCAGGCGAACCAAAGCTTAAGAAAAACTAAAAGTTAAACCATTTGAAGGGAATGTGCAAAAAAACCCAGTCCTTTTTGGATCTCCAGCTCAAACTGCAGAGCAGAACCATCAGTCAGAGTTTCATCGGTTTCACAGACAATTGGACTTTCAATGACTGAACTGCTGTTTTCACATTTTAACACTTTTTAACTTTAACTTTTAACTTTTTAACAGGTCAAGAAATTCTTTGATCCGACTTCTAGTTTTCACACAGAGACTGTTTATCTGAGGCTTACTTTTTACTCTGTGTTTCTGCCTAAAGGGCTGCTGTGTGCTGCCCCTCCCCTTTCTGGTCCCCAAAAAGCATGAATCACCATGACAAGCAGTGACTCAGCAGATTTTGTTTTTCTGCATAACCAGCATGCTTTTCTCCCTCCTATGTTTCCATCATGGCTGCCCCCATAGATCCTGTAGAATCTTCATGTTGTCTCTGATCAGACTTTTAATGTTCAGGAGGATTCAGTCAGAGGGTCTGCAAGAAACAGGAAGAGGTTTGAACCTGGAGCTTCAAAAAAAAGTTCACAGTCTTTTCAAAATAAGAGTCATCATAGTTTACCTTATTTTAAGATAAGTCCAAAATTCCTATTGAGCTTCAGAAAAGAAGCTTCACTAGTATCCATCAATATTCAAGCAGAAAGTTTTTTACTTTATTGAACATTTTTGGTTGTCTTTACAAATTCCCAACTTTTACTTGTTTTACTGTTAAAAACCTGACGTTATGATGAGTCTCCATGTTTTGTGTGTCCTTAAGGTATGAGTGGAAGGTCCCTGTCCGCTGGATGAAGGACGGAGATGTCCACAAAAACCTCTGGTGGCTGATGGAAAAAGAAGGTGTGCGGTTATGCTGATGACACCCAGATTATTTCTGTAGATTATAAAGTTCTGTTAAATTCTTTAGGATTTTGTTTTCAGCTGTGAACCTGGACATGAGGACTGGGGCTTCGTGGGTTCTGGCCAACATCAACATTACCGGGTACTATCGGGTCAACTATGACCTAGGAAATTGGGAGCGGCTGTTTGCTCAACTCAGCTCAGACCATCAGGTAAATGACCTCATAGCTCAGTGTACCTGTGAATGTGAGGCAGTTCCTGCTGACTATATGTATGCAAGTGTTCCTGTAAAATGCCCTGAGACAACTTTGTTTTGATTTGGCACTATATACTGTAAATAAACTGAATTGACTTGAATTGAATTTACTGATGAATGGCGGTTTGTGTTTGGACTCAGGTGATCCCAGTGATCAACAGAGCTCAGCTGGTGGATGATGCCTTCAACCTGGCCAGGTCCATTAGTTTAGATGATTTTCTAGAAATCTTGAGTTCTAAAAATACAATTTTGCTTGATGAAAAGCTGTGACATCTCCTCTCTGCAGAGCTAAGCTGGTCTCCACCACTCTGGCCCTCAGGACCACCTCGTACCTGTCCCAGGAGACCGAGTACATCCCCTGGCAGTCTGCGCTCAACAATCTGCAGTACTACGAGCTGATGTTGGACCGAACCGAGGTCTACCAGCCCATGCAGGTGCAGAGTTCTCAGAGTTTGGCTGCTGAGGGACTTCTAGTGGTTTAAAGAGATGAATCCTGTCCTCATGTCTCTGTGGTTCCTCAGGACTACATCAGGAAGCTGGTAACGCCGCTCTTCTTTCACTTCAAGAATGTGACATCAAACTGGAGCCATGTTCCTGAGAAACACACAGAGCAGTAAGAACCCCCACAAATCTACAACCTTCATTCTGAAGGCCAGAGGCTGACAGCAGGTCTTCATCAGCTGTTTTTCACTTTTATCCATCTGTTATCTTTCGCATATTCTGAAGTCGGGTTGAGGGGGCAGCAGCTAGAGAAGGGAGGCCCAGACATTTCTTTCCACAGCCAGCTCTTCTGGGAGAACCCCAAGGCGTTTGCAGGCCACCCGAGAGACGTAGTCTCTCTAGCATGTCCTGGGTCTTCCTCGGGGTCTCCTCCCAGTCGGACATACCCGAAGCACCTCCCAAGGGAGGCGCCCAGGAAGCATCCTTACCATATGCCTGAACCACCTCAACTGGTTCTTCTCTATGTGGAGGAGCAGCGGTTCTACTCCGAAGTGAGGGTAGGAACTAGGCACTCATGGGTGAGGGTAGGAATGTAGACTGACTGGTAAATAGAGAGCTTTGCCTTACAGCTCATCTTCATCACAACGAACCGGTACCGAGTCTGCAATACTGCAGATGCAGCACCAATCCATCTGTCAGTCTCACACTCCATTCTGCCCTCACTCATGAACAAAACACTGAGATACTTGAACTCCTCCACTTGAGGCAGAACCTCACCCTCGACCCGAAGAGAGCAACCCACCCTTTCTGACTGAGGTCCACAGAATCAGATTTGGAGGTGCTGATTCTCATCCCAGCCACATCCCACTCAGCTGTGAACTGCTCCAGTGAGTGCTGAAGATCATGGCATGATGATGCCAACAGGACCACATCATCCACAAATAGCAGAGATGGAATCTTGAGGCCAGTGAACTGAACTCCACCTCCTGGCTGCACCGAGAAATTCTGTCTATAAAAGTTACGAACAGAATCTGCGACAACAGGCAGCCCTGGCAGAGTCCAACTCCCACCCTAAAGCGGTCCGCCATAATATCGGCAATACAAATGGGTGGTGGAGATGAGGTAGAGGTAGGGCAGCTGACTCGGTACCCGAAAGTCCCAGGCTCGATCCCCAGTCATTGCACATCTCATGGTGTCTCTGAGCATGACACCCTATCCCCAATTGCTCCACGCACTTTCAATAGCTGCCCACTGCTCCATCTGGGGGTGGATGGGTTAAATGCAGAGAGCCAATTTCACCTTTGTATGGGAACATGCAATGATGACAACACATAACACATTATTATTATTATTAAACCAAACTCTCACACTACTTGTACAGGGACAGAACAGCCCATAGCAACGGGACACCCATCCCATCCTCACGGAGCATCCCTATAGTATTCCTCGAGGAAAACAGTCGACGACCCATAAACTTTTGTTTAAATTTGTTTATCTGAGTTAAAACTGAGTAAGTTTGATTGACAGATCTGAGAGATGAAGAGGAGGAAAACCTTTGTTTTGTAAAATATCTGAGCAAAAACTGCTGACCTGATCTATAAGAAGAACAGCTTTAGTGATAATTATGACTGCGAGACGGACAGCTTGGTGTCCATGTGTCCACTGGGATATATGTGTCTCCAGCAGATCACACCAGATGTGTCTCCTCCTGCAGGTACAACCAGGTGAACGCCCTGCTCACAGCCTGCAGGACCGGACTCACCGAGTGTCAGAACCTAAGCAGCACCTGGTTCAGACTCTGGATGGAAAATCCTCCACATAACCCGTGAGTTCATCTGTTTGGTAGATCTTCACCTTCAAATAGAAACAGAAGGGTCATAATTCATGGGTTTAAATTAGTTAATGGTGAAAGTAATAACCAAATAATTACCAGGAAATGAGATTGAGTTTAAGAAATAAAGCTTTATACCCTAAATCCACTCAGAACTGAAGTAAATGTTGGTATTATTACTACATTTATGTCAAATGCTACCAGTTTTATGATCAAAATATTGAAACTTTTGCAGTTAAATACAAAAATACAAAAATTTTAAAAAATCACCATATATTTACCAAATGATTTGAACTATAATCTTTGAATTCATCTTTAGTTTTAGGCTCCTATAACTCAAACGTTTACAGCGTTACTTGATGAAAATTATTTTCATTTCAGTAATTCCTCAATAATTTAATTATTACATATGTTAATGTCCCACTGTTAACACCTTATGACCCTGACGTGTTAATAACTCTTTCGGTTCATGGACAGAAACATTTAAGCTGATTATGATTTCAACATTTGGTTCATTAAACTAAACAAAATAAAACTTTGACAGGAACTGTAACTGCACATGTCCCTCCTCAGCATTCATCCCAACCTGCGCTCAGCAGTGTACTGCAGCGCTGTGGCTGCAGGCGGTCAGACCGAGTGGGACTTCGGCTGGTCTCAGTTTAAGATGTCGTCTGTAGCCAGCGAGGCAAGTAAACTCCTGTCAGCTCTGGCCTGCAGCAACGACACGGAGCAGCTGAAGAGGTGCGTGTCGTCCTCATCCATCACCTGAGCTCACAGTTCGCAGGGCCGAAGGACCTAAAACCAACCGGGAATGCTGAGTCAGCATTCATTGTCTGATTGCTGAGTCAGCATTTGTGGCCTGATCGCTGAGTCAGCATTTAAGGTCTGATTGTTGAGTCAGCATTCACATTGTTCATTTACAGATTTGTATTTTTTTAAGCGATCACTGTTTCTGCAGACTTTGTGCTATTTTAGCTGTTTATACATCAAAAACATTCGGCTCATACAGCAGATGGCTGCTTCTTTCAGTTTTCATAACTTTTTATTTTAAAAATATTTAACTAAATTAAAATTCCCCATAGAAATACGTTGAGATCTCTTCAGTTTTTTCAAAAACAAGTTTTTAAATCTTCAGTTGCTAACTCTAGTTTTAACTCATTCTGCTACTTTTAGTTTTTAGCTACCACTCTGATATGACTTTTAACAATTGTTTTGCTAAAATTAGCTTGTATAACATTTGGCTACTTTAAACATTTAGCTACTTTTAGCTTTTAGCTACCTTGTTGCTACTTCTAGCTAACATTTACTGGTAGTCACCTTTAACTCTAAGCTAATGTTTTGTTACTTTTAGATTTTAGCTTTTAGTTACTGTTTTGATATTTTTAGCTTTTAGCTATCATTTTCCTATCTTTCATATTCCTATTTTTAGCTTTTTATCAACCATGCTACTTTTAGTTTTTTAAACAATTATTTAACCTTTAGCTAATAGCAACCATTTAGCTACTTTTAGCTTGCTTTTAGTCATTGTTTTGCTTATAGCTGCCATTTTGCTGACTTCTGTATTGCTAACTTTAGCATCTGCTCAGCTAAATGTCAGCTCCTTTTAGCTGCTGTTCTGACTCTTTCGTCTCCAATCTACAGTTCGGCTGTTTGCAGTAGTCATGTTTTTATTTATTTTTTAGTCCATGATGTAAAAATCAAGGGTTGGATGACTTTGTCTCAGTTTGTCAGATATTTAAACCCCATCAAGAAGTTTATCTACAGATTATTTATATATAGTTATTGAAAAACAAATGCATTAAAAAAAACTTTTTCTTTAAAACTTTGGCTCAAACTGTGAAAACTGAGCAGGTGATACTGAAACCTTCTGATGCAAGAGGATGACAAGTTTGTGACATCACTTCCTGTCTCCTGTTTCTGCAGGTACCTGTCGCTCACGCTGAACTCCTCCATGATCCGTAAGCAGGACGCCACCTCCGTCATCACAGCTGTGGCTGCTAACAGGGCGGGACAGAGTCTGGCCTGGGACTTTGTCCGAGACCAGTGGGAGTACCTGTCCACAGAGTGAGGACCGCTCCACCTGAGGGCCGCAGGGATTAAAAACTAAATCAAATCTAGAAATTACAGCTAAAGTTTGGATCATGTTAGCTGAACTCAGAGTTGATCAGAACTTTGAACCCAGATGTGTTGTTCGTTTCTGCGCTGTTTCCTGGTTTACGTGACACAGTTTCGCTTGATGACTGCAGAGATTCAAGTTTTTAAACGGCAGCTAGTTTACTGCGAGCTGAGCTCACATGCAAATCACGCTCCCTCCTCTCCCTCCTGAGGGTTGGGCATTGTTAGTGTCCACAGGTTTGGTTTATGAGGTGTTTCTGGTCCTAACATCTGTTCCCAGTCAGTAGACGCTCAGCTCGATGTTGGAAGAACCCTAATGACCCTCCAGAGGGAAGGGAGGGGGAGGGATTTGCATGGGAGTTCCTTCCAGGATTCATTCTGTCCTGGCCCACAGAGAACCTATGCTGTACCTATGTTCTATGAACAGGTGTTTCTGAGCTGGAGTTTGCTCATTTACATGACCCGGTCCAACATTTGGTTCTGGAGGTCTGTCTTCTGTAACTCGTCCCGGGTCAGTAACTCGACCACAAATGTCTCCAATCAGGACTTTATAGGACCTTGTAGTCCAGAACCTCAGAACCTGCAGATTATTTGGTACCAAAAAGTTAGATCCCTGCTGCTGGGAGCTCTTATTTTGAAAAGCTGCAGTGAAAATTCAGAATATAATAATCTTCTTTTGTTCCAGTTATGGTGTCGGCTCATTCTCCTTCGCCTCGTTGATCTCTGGGGTCACAGCGAGGTTCTCCACACCAGCAGAACTACAACAGGTACGTTCTCATTGCAGCTTTATTTTGAAGCTAAATCCAGATGTTTGACCTGTTTGTCCTCCTGCAGCTGCTGGACTTCGTGGAGGAGCACGAGGCTGCAGGGTTCGGTTCTGCGTCACTGGCTGTGGATCAGGCCTTGGAGAGGACCGAGGCCAACATCAAGTGGGTGCAGCAGAACAAACAGGAAGTTCTGGACTGGTTCCTCAGCCAGATATCAGAACATCAGCAGAACTAACTGGGAGCTGAGAGTCGAGGTGGGACATTTATAAAGCAGAGCCGAAGAACGATGTCGGGATCAGACTGTTTGTGCAATGAGCCTTTTTATTGGCCCGACTCGTAAATCCACTCAGAACCAAAGTAAGGTTTAAAAACATGATTCAATCTGAAACAAAAAATAAATCATTTAAAAATATTCTGCCAACAGGAAACTGCTGATCCTCTGCTTTGACAATAATCACTAAAAAAAACTTTTAAATCGACTCAGTTCTGCAGATGGTTCTGTGGTCATAAAATCATAAACCATGTTTTTAAATCCTTATCTGTCAGCTTTAACTCCCTCACTTTTACTGTGCAGTCTGTGATTAAACAGTAAAGCTTCAGGATCGTTTTGAGATGACAGGTAAGACACTGACTCCTCGTGGTCAGGCTGGAGATGGCAGCAACAAAAAGCTTCACCTTCAGTGAGATTCATCTGCTGGTTTTATGTTTTCTTCTGTCATGAAGTTCTGCTGCCTGTTAATGTTCGTTGTTTGTTTACATTTTTTAAATGCCTGCTCTGAAATATCAGATAAATGTGTGTTCATAATAACTGATTTGTTTGTTTCACTTTAATATCTTCTTCTTCTGTATTTTATTCCACTGTTAGGCTGATTGATGGGTGGATGAATGGATGGATGATGGATGGATGGATGCCCTGAGATGGCTTCTGTTGACTTGGCGCTATATAAACTGACTTGATGACTTCAGTCTGAGGAGCTGCAACAAACCCAGTCTTATAAATACCACCTTCTCATTGTGGATCAACCAGTTTGCTGGTGACATCCAGCAGAGGGCTGAGTGTTACTGCATTGTAAGAGGACAGTTGAACATGGAGGCCTCCGCCCCGTTTAATGATGGATGAAGTTCTCCACAAAGATGGCCTCCTTTACTCCTCTCTCAAACCATTGTTCCTATCTATCAAGGATGTGAACATCCTCATCCCTGTCAGAGTGACCTCTGGTCTGGAGATGAGTGTAAACCACAGAGTCTTGGTCTGATGATGTTGCTCTTCTGCGCTGGTCCATCCTTTTGGCCAGTGGCTGTTTAGTTTTGCCTATGTAAGACTGATCACCGTCCTGACACTGAACAGCAGACACAATATTAATCTGTTTGCTGACAAGACTCCGGTCCATATTTTGGGTAAAATACAAAATGTTTCAACAAAGAAGAATCCGTCCAGAGGACCTGACTGAACCTGGTTAGATTTATCTACCTGGATTATTGCGCATGCATCAGGATGTCAGACAAATCATTTAATCTTCCTGAAGGTAAAACGGTCGATAAAAAAACAAACTGCGTTACAAAAGGAGCCGACAATCATCATCAGTGCTGATCTTTTCTTTTTTTATTGAGTAAAAACACAGTTCAGACTCAGACCAGGTTACATTTACACATCAACACAGAGCCAAGAGGAAACAGCAGACATGCAGTCATTTACACGGCCAGCATCCAACCAACACGTCAATAAATAAATAAAAACAAACAAATGTTTACCGGCGTTCCACTGACCTGTTCAGTGACCTGAGATTTAAAATCATTAAAGTCACAAACAGAAGGAAAGATCATGAAACTGCAACTTTTCACATGTTTGAAAATAAAAAAACGTTATCAGATAAATCCGTTTTAGCTGGTGCCGTATTCAGACTGAAGCCAACACCAAGGATGATTTTATAATAAACATAAACAGGAAACAACATGACGATCTGCTCCGATCAGACAGAGAAGTTGGACTCCGGTTTATTTTGTGACGAGCTTCAGCTCACAGAGGGGGTTTCAGGTCTCATGCAGGACACAGAGGGACACGCTGTTGGACATCAGGACACAGACAAACAGACTTTTCACTGATGGAGCGGCTGTTAGTTGGATGAGATGAAGCAGCGAAGTTAACGGGTTTGTTATGCTCCGAGGCAAAAAGATTCAAAATGGTCCTCTACATTTAAAACAATAATAATTTAATCTTCAGGAATATCAGTAATCTGTTCTGGAGGGGAATACTTATTCGCCTTTATCAGAATAATCTCCATAAAACCAGCTGAATGAAAATCTACACAGGTGAGACCAGGTGGGGGTCACTGATGGACACCAAAATCCTAAAGCCAGAACAGAATTTGTTTTATTCACTTATGGTCCAGTTTAAAGGTTTTTGAAGTACCCCTGGACTGACTGTAGGGCCCGTTGTGACATCACTAAGCCCGTTTGTCCCACATGATGGACAGCAGGTAATTGACAGCTACATGCCTTTAGCACGGTGCTAGTACCCATAGTTAGTCAGGTTGATGATATTCTTCAGCAAAAGCTACAGCGAGAGTATCGCACCAGACTAGAGACAGAGTTCTGAGGTCTGGGAGTCACCAGGATGCTGTCCCCCACACCAACCCTCGTCCAGGCCTCAGGGCAGGACACCGGGAACTCGCTCTATTATGGAGGACATCAGGGACATGTGGAGGGTTCAGCATGTCTGTGGGACTAATCACATCAAAAGACAATCCACCTTTGGACAAGGAACAAATATGGATGACAGAAAAGTGGACGTCCACCCATCGTCCCTTTGTCCTGAAAGAACATTTTGTCCACCGATGACTTTAGATTGTCCTCTCGCTTATAACCAAAACAACCATTCCTTGAATGGATGCCGCCCAAACCTTTAAAAAGATCTTAAACAGTCTGTTGTAGCTCAGAGTAGATGTTGGGGATGACTCTCAGCTACTACCTCACCACATTTTAGCTCGACACACGTAAAAATGACTGAGTTGCAGCCAGTTTTGTGTTTGTCAAGGTTGGATCAATCAGGTTCTGAGAGTTCCATTAAGAGTAGTGTGGTTAATGATATTTTGCTGACAGATTATACATATAAGGCCCACTGCGTGTCAGTTTCTTTAAAAGGTGTCCAAATGTCCCAGAAACAACCCAGAAATCAGCTTCCTGCAACATGGCCGCTCACGTGGAGAGGATGGAGACAAACCTGAACATTTGTTCCTCGTGTCAGAGCACAGTTTATGTCATGGTGGTATAAGTTGTGTCGTTTAGCCTCATGACACAAAATAAAACATTTTAGTAACTTTTTTTTCTTATTTAGGGATCAGAACTTAAGATGAGCCTCTGTCACAAACATGAAGTTCTTTGTTAAAAGTGCTGGAAGACAAAGACCTTCATCATGCATGAAGCTGCTGCTGATGAAACAGGATGGATGATGCAGTTTAGACCTTCACTTACATCATCATCATCAGTGATGGTTAACACCCCCCCCACACACACACACCCACACACACACACACACACACACACACACACCCCAGATGAAGATGTTCACATGGAGAATCGAGTGCTTGGCGTTCTACTGGAACAGATAACTCGTTCCTGTGCAGCAAGAAGTCAAAGAGGTTCTAACATGAAGCAAATGTGTTTCGGCCCCGCCTCCTCCAGACCCCACGGTGCCTCATTGGAGGATTTTCTGTCGCGTGTCAGGCAGTTTGAGGGCCACCAGGCCGCCGCAGACCAGAGCTGTGAAGGACAGCAGGATGGGGATGGCCTTGGTGATGCCCACAAAGCTGGCAAAGATGGAGCTGCCCAGGATGGCGGCCAACTTACACAGAGCGTTCAGCACGCCGAACGCCGTCGCCCTGCAGCAGATACAACATTCAGACTCTGAGGCTGTTATTCTGAAGTTCTTTGTCTAAACACGTGCAGAATTTCAAGGGTCAAATTTCAACATCACAAAAATGATTTTCAGATTAAACAAAACCCCAAAACACCAAAGAAGGTTAGCTGGTTCGGAAAAATGAACCTGCAGAGATTTTTGGACCGACTTTAATTTTGTCAGCGAGTCTCTATCGAACTTTTCATTTATTTTGGAATTACAGTAGTCCCTCGCTACTTTGCGGTTCGTTTATTGTGGACTTGCTCTATTGTGGTTTTTCAAAATAAAATTGGGCATGACACACAACTGGCTGATTGATGGATGAGTCGCACAATCGGCATGGAATTTTTATTTAAAATAAATTATTTAAAATTATTTAGCACATGTTGCACATTTGTGCAGCTCTTACTGCAGGATAAACTTCCTGCTGCAGCTGATCAGCTGTTCTCTGTGCTGAGTGTAGAAGTGGGCGTGGCCAAGAGCGCTTGCAGGTGGCAAAGAGCAGAGGAGGCAGGGAGCTGAAATCATGAAGTTCTGTGCTCTTTTAGAACATTTAGAGTTTAGAAACATTGTTTAAAATATTGCAAGAGTGTGGGAAGGGTTTAAAACATCTATATATACGTAAACTACTACTTACTACTTGTACTACTATTCCTACTTTACGGTTTTTCACTTCAGGGTACGGATCCCCCACGATAAATGAGGGACTACTGTAATAACATGTAAAAACAAGAAAAGGTGAAGTTTAGAACTGATAATGGGTCACGTATTGTCTGGATAAGAAAAATGTAAACAGTGTAAACGTATCTAATGCTTGTAAATAAATGAGGACTGGATGAAGATTTTGCACAGTGCTGTGGGTTCTGATAAATGTAAATCTAACCCACGATGATGCAAACACTGTGAAACTGACTGGATGTTGCACAGCAGGAGCTCACAAAACTGGATCTGTCTCCGAGACGAGAACATTCAGTTTGGAAGGTTGAATGTTATCGCTCACGTGAGTCCAGGTGAGTTTCTTACCTCTTAGAAGCAGGATAGAGCTCCACGGTCACCACCTCGATGCCGTTCCACGCAGCTGCACTGACACCGCAGAACAAGCACTGCAGAGCGATGATCGCCGACTGGCTGAAACTCAGGAACAGGAAGAAGCTGCAGCCGGCAGAAATGAGCATGGATCCACCTGAGGAGACCAAAAAGCCTCGGTGACGGAGCGGTAGAGAAAAGCCAACATGTCAACCTGCTGGTCCATGCCTCACCTATGATCCGAACCCTGCCGACCTTCTCCACGAAGAGCGCTGAGATGATGTTACCTGGTAACACCGCCAGGCTGCCCAGGAAGCTGACCAGGTAGATGAGCACATCGTTGTCTTCCACCATGTCCGGTTGGCCATGTTTGTTGTGCTCAAATGTTGTGTTCTCCATCCTGCAGTCGATGAACTTCTCCTCCCACAGGTCTACAGACAGCAGGAGGAGGTTAGGAGGCACAAAACGAGCTCAACTTTTCTGTTAATTAAATGTCTTCAGTCGGCTGTGACATTCAGACTCAACGTGTTTGCAGATGATGTGTTTTTTTTATTTGAGCTGAACAAGCGTTCATCTTTCAGGTTCAAGACAACTGTCATGTTTTACGGACAATAGTCTCAAAAGTGTGGCGTTTGTTAGTTAGAAAAGGTGCACCTGCTTGTAATCTAACCTCAGATGTTTTCAGATCTGGACCAAAACAGAGCAGGTCTCCAGGATCTGTACACCTTTAGACCCTGAGGTGGGTCAGAATAATCGCTGCTGTCTCCCTCCCACCCTGGACTCCCCTCCTACCAACGCCTGCGGCCCATCTGAAGCGTGACATTTTGTTTTTGTGTTATTTATGATGCGAGTGTTGTTGCACCGAGTCACTGAGTCAAAGCACTTGTGTCGACTTGGATCTCAAGAACTCCATCCTGACTGGATAAAGTCCAGGTGACAGTGTGGACTAGACCATCGTAAATCCTGGTCCACATTTGTGTCATTTGATTGATTTATTTTCTTAAATGAGATCATCTCAGGTGTAGAAAGTTAACAGAATGTTTGATTTACCTGCAGCTTTGCTCTGACTCGGGGAGGTTTTAAAATCTGACTGGATTGTTATTACCCGCCACTGGGAGGATAAAAGCTGGCAATAATGTTTTGTGTCTGTGACTGATTGTCTGTTAGCAAAATATCTCATCAAAGGATGGATTTTAATGAAACTCTCAGGATTCAACAAATGTACGACTACGACCAATTCAAGATGGCTGCCACAGCTACCTGACCTTATTAAACACAAACATAACTCAGTTTTACAGATACTGAGCTAAAGTCTGGAGTGGTAGTAGTTGAGGGTCGTGCCCAGCTCGTACCCTGAGCTCTAACTGATCGCTCATAAAGTTTTATTTTAAGGTTGGATGAAATCGTCTCTGACTCGATCGTATCTCAACATTTGATGATCCGAGTTTAATTAAATAATGCTGTTTTTATTATTCTGTGTTAGACTGCAGAGCCTGCGCTCGGTTCTGGTTCTGTTCAGGACTGAGCTGGGCCTGTTTTCAGACAAGGAGTGCCCTGAGACTTTAACATTTTATCAACAAACCGAGCAGAGCTCAGTCTCAGTGGAGGACGTTCTCCTGTCCTCTGGATCAAACTCTGTGAAACACCTGGAGCTGGAGCTCCTCCCACTCTCACCTCCAGGTGAACCCACCTGTGTTGTAGAAGATGGTGGAGCGGATGGTGCAGTTCTCAAACACGGTGTCTGTGGACGAGATGTCCTCAAAGAGACAGTCTTCGAACAAAGAGTCCTGGAACCTGACAGACTTCATCTTGATCCGGACGAACCTGCGAGGATGGGATGGGACACAGACCAGCAGACACACAGAGGGCCTTTCTCAGTGCCCAGTTCTGACCCGGGTTCCTGGGAACCTTCAGGAACACGAGGACAGACCGGATCACGGCTGACGAAGGAGTCTCAACTCGACGAGGAAGTACAACGAGTCCAACTTTACCCTCTTTAAGTTATTTACTCGATTTGACTTTTTTCTTAAAATCCTTGAAACAAAATGTTGTGCACTTTAAAATTTTGCTTTTGGCTACTGCTCTGAATAATTTAGCTTTCAGCTTCTATTCAAATCATTTTAGCTTTTAGCTACTGTTTTGATTATTTTAGCTTTCGGCTACTACTTTTTAGTTTTAGCTTTTGCTTTAAAGACACATTAGATACTCCATAAAATAAAAAAAATTCTTGGGTTTTTCCGAAGAAAATGTATAATTTCTCAGTTTCAACGTTTGATATGTTCCTCTGAGAATAAAGAACTCGTTTCAGACATTCGCAGCTCGTTGCGTTGTGTGTTTTATGTTGTTACACAACGACGCGGCTGTCTCACACTGAGGGTTGTGCGTCGCTGCTGGTGGAAGCAGAACGCTCGGAGCACTTCCTGTGGTTTGAGCTGACGATGTTCCCCAGAGAACCCGGGCGAAGACACGAGCGCAGGTTGAGAAAGGCCTCCGGTAAACGTGCACTAACTTCTATTGCTGCTGAATGAACAGAACTGGCTGTATGTGGGAACTCCCAGCATGCACTGCTTCGTATCTGAGAGACATGTTGGGCTGAAAATGGTGGAAGGATCGTTTTCGTGGCAACATGTCACGTTCTGCTCCGATCCAAGTGAAAGCTGGAACCCGTTCTGTCCGTTTCATTCTGAGAAACAAATAGAAGTTGTGGAACGTTCTGCATACAGTATGTTGTCCGACAGGGAGAACATGAACATCAACAGCTGTGGAAGGTTCTGCGTATGTTCTTGGACAGGGAGAACATGAACAGCTGTGGAACGTTCTGCGTATGCTCTTGGACAGGGAGAACATGAACAGCTGTGGAACGTTCTGCGTATGTTCTCCAACAGGGAGAACATGAACAGATGTGGAACGTTCTGTGTATGTTCTTGGACAGAGAGAACATGAAAAGCTGTGGAACGTTCTGTGTATGTTCTTGGACATGGAGAACATGAACAGCTGTGGAACGTTCTGCGTATGTTCTCCGACAGGGCGCGCAGCTCCCTGGTTAGAAGTTAGCAGACGTTAACGTTCTGCTGTAAAAATGTGATGAGTCATGAATGTTTTAACATAAACGGGAGGCAGAGAAACAGAACAGAAACAACAAAACGTTCATTTTTCCCAGAAGGTTCTCGGACGTTTCAGCTGGATGTGAAGAACCGGACCTCTGCTCAGAACCAGCCGTGCTGACTGGGTCCGGTTGAACGGCGCTGTTAGCAAACTAACAACGATAAGATAAAACAAAAAGAAGCCTCGTGTTGTTAAACCACACACAGAGAAACAGCTGGTTTAACCCTCCTGCTGTCCTTGGGTCAAAATGAGCCCTGAGGACATTTTGACCCAAGGACAGCAGCAGGGTCAAATACCAGATTTACAAAAACTGTTTTTGTCGCATTAAGTTTGTAATTTAAACATAAGCAGCATCAATAAACTCTGGTTGTTTGTTAGGTGGAGTGATTTGGACGTGCCTGTCTTCCAGCACCCATCAGCAGGTGCTGCAGCACCCTCAACACCCATAGATCCCCTCACCCTGTTCAGACCTGAGAGGTAAAAACAGAGTGAGACATTTTGCATTTTTAAAAACTCCAGTGCCTCTTTCAGGTGTGATTTGGGAACAGGGTTTAAAGAGATAGAGGTCCTGTTTAACCTATTTAGGGGGTTTTGGACTCACTGGTTCTGAGTCTGGTATCGCTCCAGCAGATTGTAAACATCCTGACAAAGAACAAGGTTGATGCTGCTTTTCATTTTCCTCAGAAGATGCAACTGAAACTCTCAGTTGACTGAAATCAGGCTACAGGTGTGATTATTTACTGAGCTAACAGCTGCACCAGGACGCTCAGCGGCTCCATCAGGTCAGTTTTTACACAAACCTTCAAAACATTTTGCTCATATTCCACCACAGATGGCTGCACAGCTTTCATCAGGGAAAAACAACTTAGTCACAGTAAAAAAAAGAGCATGACGCTGAGTGTTGTGCACGTTTGGAAGGAGAGGAGCAAATTATTTCATTTTCTTCCACATGTGAAACAAAGCATCCATTTGAAGAGGTTAAATGAGGTTTCAAACGATAGTAAGACAAGCCGTATGTGGAAGTCCCCCGTCCTTAGGGGCTTGAATAGTGAATGTATGTAGTTTTGGTGATGAGTGTTTTTCTGAACTAGACAGTAAACCAAAATGTTTTTGGTGTGAGATATTCAGGTGGAGGAGAACAGGCACAGTGGTAGAGTCAGGGAGTGGCTAATGGTGGTCTTGGCCCCCATAGATTAATCTAGGGCCACCCCAATCATTAGAGGAAATTATAATTTTTTTTAAGCAATATAAAAACTAGAAAGTATAGTTTCCTTAAATGATTGAGGTGACTGGTTTACACACAAAGGAAAAATAGAAGGTGGGAAAAAAATGGACCTTCCAAAATGGAAGTCAGTACCTCACTTATTTTCTAAGCTGCTCACAACGTGCACGGACTGACGGACGGATGGATGGAGGGTATTTTCATTTCCTCCTTTTTGCTTCACGTCAATAGATAACTAAAAAATACTGCATCCCCGAGCATGACTTCCCAGCTCCTGCATGCCCCACGTCATGGATCTGCTGCCAACACAGTCCCCCACACTCCACCAGAACCAGGACTATGAACCACAACCCCCTTCTTTTTGTGTAAACTCAGAACCATCCTGGTTCTGTCAAAGTGTCCCTAAAGCACCCCTGAAGACCTTATCAAGGTCCTGCAAAGACTGTCCGGGTCATGGCTGAGGTTCTGTCGGAGTTTAACTGGTTTTACAGAAACTAAAAGAAAGGCAGCAGGAGCTGATTCAGACACAATTACAGGTGCTGGTCATAAAATTAGACTATCATGAAAAAGTTGATTTATTTCAGTAATTCCATTCAAAAAGTGAAACTTGTATATTTTATTCATTCATTACACACAGACCAATATATTTCATGTTTATTTATTTTAATGTTGATGATTATAACTGACAACTAATAAAAAATCCCAAGTTCAGTAACTCAGAAAATTATAATATTGTGAATTGAAGAGACCTGGTGCCACACTCTAATCAGCTAATTAACTCAAAACACCTGCAAAGGCCTTTAAATGGTCTCAGTCTAGTTCTGAATACACAATCATGGGGAAGACTTCTGACTTGACAGTTGTCCAAAAGACGACCATTGACACCTTGCACAAGGAGGTCAAGACACAAAAGGTCATTGCTAAAGAGGCTGGCTGTTCACAGAGCTCTGTGTCCAACTAAGCACACTAATAGAGAGGCAAAGGGAAGGAAACAATGTGGTAGAAAAAGTGTACAAGCAATAGGGATAACCGCACCCTGGAGAAGATTGTGAAACAAAACCCTTTCCAAAATGTGGGGGAGATTCACAAAAAGTGGACTGAAGCTGGAGTCAGTGCTTCAAGAACCACCACGCACAGACGTATGCAAGACATGAGTTTCAGCTATCACATTCTTTGTGTCAAGCTACTGAACAAGAGACAGCGTAAGAAGCATCTTGCCTGGGACTGCTGTTGAGTGATCCAAAGTTATGTTCTCTGATGAAAGTAAATTTTGTACTTCCTTTGGAAATCAAGGTCCCAGAGTCTGGAGGAAGAGAGGAGAGGCACTGAATCCATGTTGCTTGAGGTCCAGTGTCAATTTTCCACAGTCAGTGATGGCTTGGGGTGTCATGTCATCTGCTGGTGTTGGTCCACTGTGTTTTCTGAGGTCCAAGGTCAACGCAGCCGTCTACCAGGAAGTTTTAGGAACGTCATGCTTGCTGCTGCTGACCAACTTTATGGAGATGCAGATTTCATTTTTACAACAGGACTTGGCACCTGCACACAGTGCCAAAGCTACCAGTACCTGGTTTATGGACCATGGTATCCCTGTTCTTAATTGGTCAGCAAACTCGCCTGACCTTAACCCCATAGAAAAATCTATGGGGAATTGTGAAGAGGAAGATGCGATACACCAGACCCAACAATTCAGAAGAGCTGAAGGCCACTATCAGAGCAACCTGGGCTCTCATAACACCTGAGCAGTGCCACAGACTGATCGACTCCATGTCACACCACACTGCTGCAGTAATCCAGGTAAAAGGAGCCCCAACTAAGTTTTGAGTGCTGTACATGCTCATACTTTTCATGCTCATACTTTTCAGTTGGCCAACATTTCTAAAAATCCTTTTTTTATTGGTCTTAAGTAATTTTATGAGATACTGAATTTGAGGTTTTCATTAGTTGTCAGTTATAATAATTAACATTAAAAGAAATAAACATTTGAAATAGATCAGTCTGTGTGTAATGAATGAATATAATATACAAGTTTCACATTTTGAATGGAATTACTGAACTAAATGAACTTTTTCATGATGTTCTAATTTTATGACCAGCACCTGTGCTGTTGGATGATCGGACAGCGTTTAAGCCTCTAAGGGTTTAAAAGCTGAAGTCACCCCCAGGAAACTGGTTTAACCTCCAATGATGACCTTTACCGGCTCTAGACTTGAGTCAGAGCAGATCCTTGTTATCACGACTCAGTGCTTCCAGGAAACTCTGGAGCTCAAGACCCGGTTTGTTCAGCTTCGCTGCTTTCAGAGAGAATCCAGAGGAATCGAACCAAACACGTGAAGACCAAACTACGACAGCAGGAGGTTTTCAGGCCACTCTGAGTTTCACTCACTTGTCTCGAATGTACTCTCCCTCCTTGTGGACCTGGTTCTCCAGAGAGAAGTTGAAATGGAAGTTCTCCACTCGCTCTCGGTGGAACGTCTGAACAAACGGAGAACGTTGTGAATCTGGGTAATTATTTCAGTCAGACGATTAAAATTGAGCTGAATAAATTCATGCAGCTGTCTCAGTGAAATAAAACATATTTTGTTTTTTTGTTAATATTCAAATAGAAATCATATTTGTAATTTTCATTCGTTTTATAATTTAAAATGTAAAACATTTGCTACTTTTGGAATTGAAAATAATTTGAACTAAACATTTTTTTCTAATATTTAAACACAAGAAAATGTATGTTAATTCATTTTTTTAATTTATGTAGCTTAAAGCAAAAAAAAGGTTCTAATTGAAAACCTGCAAAAGGTTCAACATGTTAAAAACATAAACCATTAAATTAAAATAAAAAGCTTAGAAAAATATAAAGATGTAAAAAAAAATTAAATATATAATCTAAATTTTTAAAGTCAAATAAATTGACTACATTATTAAATATATATATATATATATATATATATATATATATATATATATATATATATATTATTATTATTAATTTCAATAATATTCTATATTTCTGTACTTCTTCACATTATTCTCCTGTTAAATCTCATCTAAATGGTAAAATTTTAATTTACAGCATTTAAATTAGATTTAAACTGCTTAATAAATGCTGAGAGCAGAAATATTCTCGTTTTAAATGAGTATTTGTATGTTTTAGATTCTGCCTTGTTTTTGTTCATCCTCTGAAATTAAACTCAACATGAAAGAAATGTCCCATGAGACTTTCCGTACTTCTGCATTAAACCAGAGAATCCTGGTTTATAACAACAATTTGTTCCTGACACTTCAAATAATCTTGACTTTTTACATTTAAACAACTGGATAAAACAATCAATGTGAATAAATTAATTAAATCCAGCATTTTATTTCTTACAGCGTAAAATAAATTTTTTTTGTGTTTGTTTCTGTTTTTGTTGGTGTTAATTTTAACAAACTTCAACCTCGTAAGAAACAGAAGGTTTATTCTTACATGTTGAAATATTAAACCTGAACATTCAAACCGATGGAGCTGCAGGTTTTAACACATTTTTTAACATTTTTTCCAAAGCAGCTGAAGGAAATGTGAAACTGAAAATGAAGGATAAGGAGCACCTCAGGGCTGATGATTTGGCACCAATAATTATCATTTATGAAGCATAAAAACAGTTTTGATCTCAAACGCAAACTAAATTTCTCCTGTTTGTTCTTCTCCAGATGCTCAGATGTTCTCCTCACCTTAACCTTGGACTCGTACTCTTCGTACTGCAGATGTTTGATCATGTCGGGGAACCAAACTGACAGACCATAATAACTGCGAAAACACAACAGAGATTAGGACACACACAAACACAAAGCACGCACACTCAGGCAACCATTTGGACCCATTCGGGTCCACCCATGACTCATAAAGCCCACCTGAAGGCCATGCAGAACCAGATGATGGCCATGAAGAGCGTGGCGAACCTCAGCTCCACAGACAGCAGAGACGCCATGTTTCTCAGAACCTGCAGTAAAAACAAGAACCTCCTGAATTCAGATTCAGCTCAGAACCGACAGGTTGTCACAACAGGTTTAACCTGCTCAACAGAACACAGGTCCAAACAACCAGAACCAAGCACAGCTCTGCATTTTCACTCAGATGTTCAGAAATAATGTGCAGCCTACACAGACGAGTCTCCAAATGTTGGGTTTGAATCTGTGAACATTGTATCCTGGTCAAGATCCCGGACCAGATCCTGGACCCTACCATGTTAGAAATTCTGCACCAGATCCACTTTGTCACAGAAACCCGGTTTGAGTCCCTGAGACCTGGTTCAGGTCTCCACGTACCAGTTTACAGAGGGTGAAGGAGCGCACGGCCCACCGCTGCACTGGCGTTCCCGTGGCGCTCTGAATCTCGATGAACTCGTCCTCAGCCGTCTTCGGAACCTTGATGTGGGTCACCTGAGGGACACAAGAAAAACAAATTGTCCTGAAGCTGTAGGGTTCTGCTGGGTTCACTGGTGCCAGAACAGAACCTCCGGTGGGTCTGACAGAACCTATAAAACCAACATGGAACTTCAGTCCAAGAACAACAGAAGCCTGGTCTGAAGTCCCAACTAGTTTTAGCTTTTAGCTCCTGTTGTGCTAATTTGATCTTTTGTTCTGATTGTTTAACCTCAACAGTTCAGTTTCAGCTGTTGTTTACCTCCTTTTTATTCACTCATACTTTGTGGATGTTCAGATTTGATGCTTTTTCCTTTCACTCCTCAGAAAGTCGCCGCCTTTGTGAGTTTAACATTTGAACAAATGAACTTCCTGTTTCTACCTGCAGCTGACGGTTCAAAGTTCTGGGTAAACCTGCATCAGAACCAGGAGCATCTGAGCTGCAGGAAGACCAACCCCCACAGAACAAAGAACCCACTCTGATGGAGACATTGGTCTGTTTGCGTTACACAATCACAGATCAATAATTCTGATCAGGCCTGTTCGGATCAAATCCTCCTGCAAACATAAACTCGGATCCAGAAAAATAAAGCTTAGGTTGAGAAAATAAATTATTTGTCAACCTTTAAATAATTTGTACGCAGTGAGACGCTCCCGTTTTATTCGTCAGGTGAAAGTGGGTCAGCAGCTCCGAGACGTGCACAAAGTCTATTTTAAGATGCTGATCGTGCACAGCTCGCCTACTTCATACAGATTTATCAAAACCTTCATCTGCAGCAACATTTCTGCCAGAAATCACAGCAGTTCCTGGTCCAAGAAAGAGTTTATTTGAAAGTCTCAGTGATCAGATCAGGGTCAGAGTTTAAACGCCTCAAAACGTTTTTAAATGATTTCCAGGAGTTAAAAACGGATTTTATCAGAGATTCGTGTTGGACTCACGGTGAAGACTTTTTCTGGCTGCCCTTTGAATCTCCAGTTGGTGTCGTGGACCTGCTTCAGGATCATCCACGCCTCGTCGTGTTTGGCATTCTGCTCCGCACACACACACACACACACACACACACAGTAAAATAAAGCAGCTGATGTAAAAATAATGTAAATATCTTGACAGTATAACACCAGAAAGACAAAATATTTTGATTTATTTATTAATACAACATGTTTATAAACAATCACAGATAATCTTTGTGGGAAACGTTTAAATTAAAAAAAGGATAAAATTATAACACCAAGAACATTTCTGCAGGAATGTTAAAACGCTCCAATATTCGTAGTCCCTGGAACTCCAACACCCATCAACCTTCAGAGCCAGACTCTTATATTGAAGGCAACATTTGAGCTTTATTTTGAAACATCTTCCTGTTTGACCTTCAAGTCTTTGGGGGAACTTTAAACGCGGAAGAGGCTTTTCATCCGTTTTTTTTTTTTTAATTTTTTAGTTCTAATCAGAACAAAAGTGCCCAGATTCTACAGGTTCTGACGACACCAGCAGGAACTGCTTCAGGTCCAAACCAGCTTTTCTTCAGGCAGCAGATGGAAAAGACTCAGACTGATGCCTCCATCCATCCATCCATCCATCCATCTATTTCCATTGCCCACTTCTCCTCTCTGGGTCATGGGGAGCTGGTGTCTATCAGTCACTGTGTGAGAGGCGGGGGACATCTGGACACGTCTCCCGTCCATCACAGGGACACATGAAGACAAACAACCATTCACTCTCTCACTCACACCTAGGGACATCTACGAGTTACCAATGAGCCTAACATGCATGTTTTTGGTCTGTGGGAAGAAACTGGAGTACCCGGAAAACCCACGGGGAGAACATATAAACTCCACGCTGAAAGGTTGGGAGGCAAACTGTGACCTTCTCGCTGAGAGGCAACATCTCTAACCCCTATGCCACCGTGCCGCCCCTACATACAGTTACTGCTAAAAATTCAACATTGCATCTGATTTTTTTCAGTCTCAAGTGCTGCGATTCTCACACTGATCATATGGACACAGGCTTGATCCGTGCACTCTTCCTTCGTGCACGCTCTTACAGGAGCACACGGCTGATCACAGCAGTAAACACACTTCGATGCATCCTACAACACTTTTAAGTGCATTTTAACATGCAGGCAGGCACAAATAAAAGGCTCCTGTAGATTTGTACTAAAGGACATTTCATGGGATAATCAATGTGTTTCTACAATAAAACACGAGCTGTACCCACTCTTGCAACCCTGATTGCAGGACCCTGATTATAAACCAGCTTCTGACTGGAGCCAGACTGGATCAACACCAGGACCTGCAGCAGGGGGACTGGATTCTGGGCTGAGTGTGACTCACCTCCAACAGGAAGCGAGGACTCTCAGGCATGAAGGTGAGTCCAACCAGAGAGGCGACGGCAGGAAGGGCTGCGACAATGACAAACACCCTCCAGCTGTGGAACTGGAACTCCGTGCCCATGCTGAACCCCCAACCTGCTCACAAACCATCAGAACCATCAGGTTAACACGCCCACCTGGTGTCCCGCCCCTTCACACTGAAGACATCTTTAACCCAGCAGCAGGTTTTGGGTCATTTGGAGTTTGAGACGTAGAAAATACTACTTCCTGTTTACTCTGTGAGAACAACAATCAACAACAGACAGAATCTCCAAACCAGGACTGAAATGGATCAAACCAGGCTGAAGGATCTCAAACAGTCCCCGTCACACACAGCACAGCCGTACCGTATCGAGGGATGATCCCCCAGGCCGTGAAGGACGCATAAATCCCCCCGATCATCCAGAACATGCAGAGCCAGGACAGATGTTCTCCTCTCTTGTCCATCTGGAGGAACTCAGAGAAGTACGAGTAGACGATGGGCACCGTGCCGCCGATGCTGGAACCAGAGAAAACACAGCGAAGAGTTTTTCGTCCACCACCCAAGATTGTGTGAAGAAACGCTGAGTCAGATGAACACATGGAGACCTCTTCAGTTCCTTCAAGAACATTATTCTCCTCAAAAGCCTGTTTCAGAGCTGTTTCAGTCTTCTTATGATAATTTTAGCATTTAGCTACCGTTCTTCTACTTTTAGCCTTTAGCTTTTGTTCTGCTACTTTTAGCTTTTATCATATTTTAGTACTTTAGCATTTAGCTACTTTTTGGCTTTTTGGTACCATTTTGCTGCCTTTAGTTCTCTTTGCTATTTTAAGCTAGTCTTTTGTAGCTTTTATTTAGTCTTTATCTAATTTAGCTTTTACCTAACCTTTTGCTACTTAATCTTATAGCTCTTTTTTTTGGTACCAAACTATTATTTTGCTACTTTTAGCTTTCAACCATATTTTACTATATTTTGCATCTAGCTATCATTTTGCCAATTTTAACTTTTACCATTTTTTAGCTAGCTTTTTGCTATGTTTAGCTTTTAACTTTTTTTTAACCAATTTCAGCATTTAGCTCGTCTGTTGTTATTTTTAGCTACCTACTTCTTACTTTGACTTTTAGCTTTTTTGCGATACTTTTCTGTAGCTTTTTGTAGCTTTTAGCTAGTGTTCTGCTTCGTTAGCTTTAACAACTGTTTTTGCTTCTTCACTACATCTTAGTTGAGTCATTCGGCGCTCGACATTCACAGAAAAATTAATTTGGTTTTATTTTTCTGCCTGATTGAGGTCAAAGGTCAGAGCTAAAACATTTGTCTGAAAACTTTCAGCAAGAGAACATGAGAATATTTGAATGTGTCAGCAGTTTAGATCTTTGTTCGTCTTTGAGTTTATGGAGGTTTTTGTGTATTTGTTGTGTTTTTCCTTGAGTAAAAACAACGAGTTTTATCTTGTGGAAGCTGCAGTTTGCTGCTCTGAGATCAGTTTGTGAGTCAGCTGATTCCCTGCAGACCTCAGATGTTCTGCTGCGTCACTGAAACCCAACACCGACCCGGCTTCTGCAGAAACAGACTCAGCGCTGCTCAGTCTGTCGCTTCGGCTGCTTGTTAAACACTGAAATCACTGATGAAAACAAACAGGAAGGAATAATCTTAATCCAGGATTCACGTGAAGGTTTTTAAATTTATACCAAACTCAAGATAAAAGCTAAAACTAAGGATCTCAAATATTTATTTAGTTTTTGTTAGAGTTCTGGATGTCCTTATTTTAATTTTCATTCACTTTTTAAAACAAAGAAGGAAATATATGCATCTACCTCAATCAGCCATTAAATTATGACCATATGCATTTTTTCACCTTAGTTTTTATCTCTGCTGCTATGAAAAAAAAAACCTTTACGTTGCTATCAGAACATGTTTCTACCTCATGTATTACACATGCACTAACCAACACGTGTCTCTAGTCTTGTCTCTTAATAACTTGTTTAGATTAAGTTCGATGTATTTTTGCATTTATTGCTCTGTTGTGTATCTGCACTGTGTGTTGTGTTGTTTTGCATTTTATGTTGTGTTGCACCGTGATCCTGGAGGAACTGACTCTGACCATCTAATACTGAGGAGGTCCTTCTTTTGTCTTCAAACAGTTCTGACCCATCTGATTGCGTACTCCTGTGAACATCTGAAGGTCTGCCGTGGGCCACTGAAGGTCTGCTGTAGACTTCTGAAGGTCTCATGTGGACCTCTGTAGGTCTGTGAACCACTGGAAGTCTGCTGTGGACTTCTGGTGGTCTCCTGTAGACCACTGGAGGGCTACCATGGACCTATAAAGGTCTTCTGTGGGCCACCAAAGGTCTCTTGTGGACCTCTGAATGTCTCCCGTGGACCTCTGAATGTCTCCCGTGGACCTCTAAATGCCTCCTGTGGACCTCTGAAGGTCTCATGTTTGATGTAGTCCCAACCTGCTGTCTGCAGCAGTGCCTTTATTTCCTGAAAGTTGTGAGATGGATGGACGTCCATGGATTGGACCTGTTTGGTCCAGAACATTTCACTGATACTGGATTAGACAGAGACCTCTAGAATCTGGAATCAACTGTTCATATTGATTGTTGTGTTCCTCAGAATGTTCCTGAAGCATTTCAGCAGCGTGGTGGGGAGCATCATCCTGCTGAATGAGGCCATCAAGAAATATCATGAAGGTGGGACTCGGTCAGAAACTATGTTTATGTAAGTTTTCTGGGTCAAAGGAACATATAAGTTTCCCAGATAAGAGGCACATAAGGACCCGGCCATCTAAGTGATGAAAACAACATGACCCAGAACATCTTCTACCATTGTGTGGTCCAGTTCTGATGTGTTCATTGTAGGACCTTTGGGTGGGGGACATGGTTACCAGGTAGGCCATGGTTTTCACCAGTCAGTGGTCATAATGTTCTGGCTGATTGTGGGTTTTTAATGTGTGTCGAAGTTACCCAATGCCCGACAGCAGTCTGAAGAAGAGGAAGAAGCCGTATCCCTGAGCGAAGGATGACAGGAAGGCAAAGACGCAGTTCAAGGCCAACGCCATGATCAGACAGCGACGCCGGCCCAATTTATCAGCCAGACCCCCCCACAAAAAGGCCCCCACCATCATGCTCAGGAAGACCACCAGACCTGAAGACAGACAGAACAAATCACAGATTGAAGACTCAGTTTAATGGATTTTCTGTTCTGGATTGGTCATCTGGTACCAACACCACTGCTGTGTTCTCGTTCAGCATCATCAGGACAAAACATCCAACATATCCTGATGCATGCTCAATAATCCAGGCAGAAAAATCTAACAAAGCTAAGTCAGGTCCTCTGGACGAATGCGAAAAAAAAAAAAATAAATAAATAAAATA